TCTTTTTTTTTTTTTTTTTTTTTTTTTTTTTTCTCTCTCTCTGTACCGACGTCCTAACGCGACGTCGAGCGTCGCTGAACAACCGACGAATGTTTTTACCCCTTCGTTTTCTTTACTTTTTATTCTTTAAGCTTTGGAGAATAGTGTTCGCAACGGTGGTCCCCACGGCGACTTCCGGTTCCCCGTTTTACGCGTTTTTAGTCTGACAGCAGAACAGCGACGGTCGACGTCGCGTCAGGATGTCGGGCGAATCTTTGACGCCTCGGTAAAATAAAAAAAAAAAAAAAAAAAAAAAACCGGAAAATACCCTAACATAACCAGACATAATCTATCGAGAAGCGGGAAATAGGAAAATCGTGGAGGTGGACGAGAGAAAAGAAAAAGACCCGGAGAGTATTCGATCGAGGAGAACGAGGCATTTTGTTCTACGCGCGAGCGTACATGCATACATAAACACGCGTACGTGTATATCGTTTCTTTGCTTTCTTCTTCTTATTATTAATATTACCGTTACTCTTACTTCGTTTCATTGTTTCGCATTTTTTTTTTCTTTTTTTTTTCCCCCAACTCCGACGATAGATCGACAGGCTCACGCATCCACGTACACGTAAATACACGCAAGTTACACGTACACGCGAATACAGGGGGCACGAGGCGCCCCCAGGGGTATTTTCGCGGAGAATACCGCGCGTGCTCGCGTCGCGAGCTCGAGCCACCTCCGAAAGTCACAAAAAAAAGAAAAAAAAAAAAACGAGAAAAAAAAGGAAAAAAAAATAAATGCATATTACAATAGAGAAAAAGGTGAAAGCCAGACAAAAAAAATGCGAAAAAAGAGAAAAAGAAAAAAATAATGGAACAAGAAAACATTTACATGCCACCGTGTCGAGTATGATCGTGTGATAATTACAAGTGATTTGACTAGGCCCTTCCAAATGGATTCAGTCGGTTATATTATTATTATTGTATCGTGTCAGGAGACGTGGTAGGCACGCTGGTGTCAGCTCGAATCCGCTCGGTCTGCCGTGATCGCGAGGCTCCTTTCTTATTTTATACGTTTATACCTATTTTGCTTTTCCTTTCTCCTTCTTCTTTCTTCTTTTGTTTCCGCCCAACCGAGAGATCTTCCCTCGAACCCGGACCGTTCCACTCGCGCGGCTCCGCCCGGAACATCACGGCCATGTTGATTCGATTAAGCGACGCGGTCGACGCCTAATCTTATCATGGGCCGCGGCGCGAGACGCGAAGCGCCCTCTGCAAAGAGGCGCCTCAACCACGATGGAATCGGTCCGCGGGCAAAACTCGTTTCCGCGATCCCTTCGCGAGGTTTACCCTTCGTT